TATATATATAATGTGTTGTATATTTATATGTATATGTATGTATGTAATGGATATTTGAATAGACATAAGTATAAGAATTTTCACTTTAATTATAATGTTTATTTGGAAAGTATATATAATTATGCCTGTCTTATTGGTTTGGGTAATTATTTACTAAAAATAAGACTACATTTCTAAGAGTGATTTGGGAATACAAAGTTTCTAATGTTTTTAATAAAATTTTGCATAGCCTTAGTCTATATTTTGCATATAATTATTTCTATCCTTTGGTTCCTATGAAGAGAATAATTCCAGTGGCACAGTAAGAATTATATCTGCTGTGCTTCTTTTCCTCATTACTTTCAACTAGATTAAAAACAAAACAACAACAAAAAACCCTACCTAAAACAAAGAAATAATTGTGTTTTCATAGCAGATTTTTCTTTTTGCATTCTAAATTGAAAACATGTTCTTTGCTATTAGAAGTTTTTAAACTGCTTCTTTTAAACTGCTTCTAAATGAGGGAATATTTGGGTAAGAATCCGAGTAATTATGTTTATGATGTTAATTATTTTAAGTATCACTAAGTTTAAAAGAGTATATCAGGTTAGATCACAACTGCAAGAGAGTAAATTGACTTTTTCTGGGAAAAGGGAGAGACAGAGTATGCCATATTTATTTCTGAGTCCTCAGATTACTTGTCACTACTCGTGTCCATATCTATCTCCCTCAGAGGCTGTGAATTCTGTGAATCCAGAGGATATGTGTTTTCAGAGCAGAGTGTCAACTGTGAAATACTCATCAAGTAACTGTCTCAGGAAGTGATCCTATCAGTTGTTTTATAAGCTTTTATTTTTATTTCATAAGCACAAAGGATTCACTTGCTATCACAGGGTGTTGTTCCTTCTACTGTTCTTATGCTTATGTTGTTCTTAATTACATGAGATAAGAGTGTTGGAGAAAGGTTAGGCTTAATGTAATCAGATCATGTTGGGTGGGGGGCCAGTTGCACCAGAAATTGTATCTTATTTTCATATAATATTTTAAATTTGCTAAATATACATGTTAAATTATGACACTAATAGTATTTAATTCCAGATCTGTTGGGATTTCAGAGGAGGAATATATGCTCCAGCTCAAATGTCTAGACATGAGTTCGGCTTAGGTGGTTAATCCAAAGCACATGACATTTGAACTGGAAAACCAGCAACTGCTCCAAGACTAAAATTAAAGCAATAATATAAGTAGTGTCTTCTTTCTAAAACAGGAATGCTATTATGAAGGCTAGGCAAAAATAATAAAAAAAAAAAAAAAACCCAAAAAACAGTTGTCCCACAAAAGAAAATAACAGTGAGTCATTTTGTGAAAAATGATTTTGTGGATATTTTTACTTGTTTGTTTTAATGTTTTGTTCAAAGATGAAAAGAATCCTAGATTCTTAATGTCACTGGGATTGAAAAAAAAAAAAGTTTTTTAAATAACTTAGCAGCAAAACCCACCAAAGAAAATTCCTCAAAATTTGGTTAGATGGAGTTTTCTTGGTTTTGTCTTATTTTATAAATTGAATAGATATTGATCATTTCCCTTAAAATTTTTGGTTAAAATACCAGTTTGGAAGTCACATATGGGTCATTTTTTTGTATATCTCTTTTTTAATAAAGAGAAGTTTTATCAATGCATATTTCTACAATTTTCAAAGTGCTGTCACCTAAATTACTCATTTGATTATTTGTGTCCTTGAGATATAGGCATTATCTGAAAAATTAAGTATCCCGAGTCTCAGAAAGTTCAAGAGACTGAGCTGTAATTTAAATGGAAGCCCATGACTAGAAGTATGAGGTTCTCTTCATTTTTACACTTTTTTCTTTGGAAAATTCTTTTCCATTCATGTATCAAAAATAAGAATTTTTAAATGTTGTAGAAACCCTTGGATTTATGGCCAGACTCTAATGATAATCAACTCAAAAAACATATTTCTTATAATCAGATTATTAATGAAACCAGTAAGAAGCATGTGGTTTAACTGCAAAGTGATTGCCTGTCCAAAAATGAGCTCCAAAAGTTAGTGGTATAGAACATAGATCCAAAACCCATCTGTGTTCTTTTAATGTACTGTTCAGCATTTTCATTTTTGCTTCCATGTGTGACAACAAATTTCCTCTCCCCCAAAATGCCAGAGTGCACAAAATTAAGTCTAAATATTTAGTTATTAATAGGCTATTACGATATACTAGTTGAAGGCGGTGCTCACTGGAGTGAACAAGGCAATGTTGTGCCGTAAACATTAGCTTCATAAAGTCCCTAAAACACTTAATTAATGAAAACCAAACATGGATAAAACCAATTTACCCTGATTTACAGACTCCCTTCATCTGGAAACAGCTGCTTAATGTTCTTCTTAAAAACACAGCTTGCTTCTTTCAGTATTAACAAGCTATTATTGTGAGTTATGTCTTTCTTTCAGTATATAAATTCACTTAAAGCAAATGCAGAGAAGTTTATAAAATGTAAGCTTAATGTTGTTTTAACATATGTTGCAAGAATTTTTTTGAACTTTGACAGTTTTGATGAAAGGCATCTCCCTTTGGCTCTCATAAATTTAACTTTTTGCCGCTTGGATGACTTATTTTGTAATGTTAGAACAACTGTTTTAAAAAAAATTATGTCAGTTGGAACCAATGTGGTAATATGGATGAGAACCGAGAGACAATGAGCTTCCACGTTAGACCCAAAAGTATTTTTTCTTAACATATCTTCATACAAATTCTAACTCTTGAAAATCTCTGGTTAGAAAGTGACCAGATGGGGAAGGAATTCCCTTTATTGACACTCATTTGAAAGGTTGAAATTAGCTACATATAGAAAATACACACACTCAGGCCAGGGATTTAACTCAGTGGTTCCTCTGCCTGCTTCGCAAGTTCAAGGACCCAAGTTCGATCCCTGGAACAAAGAAAACAAAAAACAAAAAACAAAAAAACAAAAAAACAACAACAACAACAAAAGGAAATACAGACACTCATATCCATCAACTTCATAAAGTATTCTAGCTTGGGAATTGTAAATGTAGAAAAATAATCTTTCATTCCACACTACTTTAATTGAAGTTCTGCATTCTAACATAATTAAACAAACATTTTAATGTAATAGTCATTGATTTGCTGCCTTTACTTACAAAATTAAAAAAAGATGCTGCAACTAGAAAATGAATGTTAGAAATTAAAAAATAGCTTTTGTTTATAGCATATGACAGTTGGATAAAGAAAATTTTAAAGCTGAAATAAATATCTGCATCCTGACCTTTTCGATTTCGTTTTTCCTCCACAACTTTCCTGAAATTAGATAATTTTGTTTTTTCATTAATCCTTACATTTTACTTGAGAGTGAAATATGTTAAGTTTAGAGATTTTTGGAATGTCATATTAAACTCTGACATGGGATGTTAATCTGAAAAAGTGCTGTGATAATTTACAATTAAGCCAAGCATTTCCAAAAACAAGGAAAGACATTTAAAAATTGTAAATTTAAAAGAGCTGGTCAGGGATTTAGCTCAGTGGTTCCAGCTCCTGCCTGAAAGTGCAAGGACCCAAGTTTGATCCCTGGTACAAAAAAAAAAAAAAAAAAAAAAAAAAAAAAAAAAAAAAAAAGCTAAAAATAATTTTTTTTTCCTTGAAACTACAACAATTGTAAAACTTCTGTAGGATTATATAGTAAATGTAGAAGAGAAAATGTTTCATTTTTTTATTTTACATTTATATGTATATCATTTTTCATGCATTTATCATAAGTTTACACGTGTAAAAAAGACTTAATAGGAAACTCAATTCAAAATCTCACACTGTGATTTTAAAAAGCTGCTGTCAAATACATGAAGAGATAAGAATGTTGATATCTCAAGAGGAGAACTCCTGCTGGGCACACACTTGTAATCCCAGCACTCAGGAAACTGAGGCAGAAGGATTGTCATGAATTTGCATCTAGCCTGAACTATATAGTGAGTTCAAAGCTAGCCTGAACTCTTCGAGTGAAAAACAATTTCTATTTAATATTTGATAATGAGTATAAACTTTCACATGCATTTTATTTGTTTGTGTTTGTTTTGTTTGAGACATGGTCTCACTATGCAGTTGAGACTGACCTGGAACTCACTATGTAGCCCAGGCTGGTCTTGAATTCACAGCGATCTTCCTGCCTCAGCCTCCAGAGTGCTGGGGTTCCAGGCGTACACCATCACACCCAGCTCACATGCATTTTAAACAGACAGACATTCTAGCTTTATTGTGTTAATCTCTCTCTCTCTCTCTCTCTCTCTCTCTCTCTCTCTCTCTCTCTCTCATGCTTCTTTGAGCCACAAGAAGATTTTACACTCTATCCTCTCTCTCCAGAAATCAAACTCTGTCTGCAGAAGGCAGAGCTCATGTCATCTTCAGAGAAACCATCTCCCTAACTGGATTTGGTCATCTTTTTCTCCAATAAATTTCCTACTTTCAGTGCATCTCATTCATAAAACTGTCTTTTGCTTATTTTTATGATTTTGATTTGAACATGGTTTGAGTGATTGTAAGATGAGACCAACCATTCCCTCCGACACTAAGCACCAGGAGGACAGAAACTGACTCTCTCATTACCCCCTGTTTTATCTTCAGAGCTTAGCAGATTTCCAGGTCCCTAATAATAGGGACTCAAAAAACTGTGTTTTGAGTGAGAGAAGGTGTTAGTGAAGGAATGAGCGATGAGAGTTGAAATCTCTGTAAATGGCACATTACATGCAAAAATAAAAAAAAAAAAAGATTTGTTAACAGTAACCTGTCATGTAGAGGTACAAGATCCCAATAATGAATGTAACTGTACTGTATCCCTAAAATGTACCAGTAAACTCAAAGTTGAAAAAAAAAGGTGAATCTGGATTAACTCTGTAGATATCACATATATTATGAGGCATTTAAACCAATGGAGAGAGTTGTTCCATTCTTTGTCTTAGAATCCGTGTAGGAGTGATGTTACTCTTGGATAGCAGAGATTACTAGAAGCAGGGAGGTGAGTGAAAAAGCATAGGATCGGCCCAGGATTGGGCTCAGGGGTTCTGCGGGCGTGGGGCGAGAGCGGAGGGGACTGACCTGAGGCCGTCCCACATTCTTCCCGCGGTTTCAGATGCCCTTTTCTCTGCTTCAGGTGGATCGCCAGCCCCAGTTTATTCAAGGCTACCGTGTACTGTATCGTCAGACTTCGGGACTGCAAGCTACATCGTCGTGGCAGAATTTGGATGCCAAAGTCCCCACAGAGCGAAGTGCTGTCTTAGCCAATCTGAAAAAGGGGGTGACTTATGAAATTAAAGTTCGACCCTATTTTAATGAATTCCAAGGAATGGATAGTGAATCTAAAACCGTCCGTACTACCGAAGAAGGTCAGTGTCCAGAATTCTACGGTGAAGCAAACGTACACCACGATTAAACCGGTTTCTGTCATAGGTCTAGTTTGTCATCTTCCTACGATGACTAGGAGAGCAGCTAAAAGTGAACACAAGACCTGTCGTTTTCCCCTCATACTTGAGTATTCTACAGAATCTGACCCCCCCAGGACTAAAAAAGGAGAAGAAAATGACTCTGAGTTTGAATTTTTTAAACATTCACTCCAAATCTTACATCCCATTATGCCTGTATTCCCATGTTTACGTGTAGATTTAGCTCATTTGGCATCAGTAAAGGACAGGCTGTAGAAAACTCAAGAACATGAGGTTTTCAGGGTGATGATTGATATTGGTTTCAAGCAATCCATTTTTTAGTGTCTTCTTTGCTAAATGAGAGCCTTATAATGTTGTCACCAGAGTATACGAGTGAGGTGTTGCTGGGTGTGGTGGTTCACACCTGTAATCCCAGTACTCTGGGGAGCTGAAGCAGGAGGATCATGACTCAGTGCCTCAGAGAGACCGTGTCTCAAAATAAAAAATAAAAGGAGGTGGCTATGTAGTTCTTTGTGAAGGTCCCGTGTTCAATTTCCAGTAACAAGCACACAAAAAAGTGAGACAGCAGAGAAAATCACCCCTCGCTCTGCTTTGTACTAATTTTGTGTGTATACTTTGTAAACAAAGCCTTTTCTTGTGTGTTCTACCCATAGGCCAAAGGATGGACAGGGAGGCAATATATTCTGCACAAAATTATTTAAGATTGTTGATAAGAAAATGTATGTAGCTTACACATGCTAGCGTGTAGATAATCACATTTGACCAAAATAATTTTAAATTATACATTCCTTAATTATGACATAGAGCAAAACATTGTCTTCACATTGCTTTCCAGTATGTTGTACTGGCAGGGGTGGGAGTGCATATTTTTGAATATGTCATTAGATTACATGAGGATATGTAAACAGAAAAAATTACTGAAAAAGCTACAGTTAAATTTTACCTTATGTTCCAAATTGGTACTGCCAGGGAGCGGGAGGATGGCTTTAATACAGGAGGTTATGTTTGAAGCCTTTTTCCAAAAATCAATTTCAGCTCAGTCAGACTTTTCCTCTGGATTGGACATTTGTCATCAGTCAGTATACATTCATCTCTGGTTTCTGTGGCCTTGAGAACTCAGCTGGGGGGGCTATGTCTGGAAATGAGGAGCAGTGATTTGGGTCCTTTCACATGTGTAGGAAGAAGCTGAGTACTGAAATAATTGACCTGTCAGGAAGCAGGCGCGGTGCTCTGGCAAGTCCACAGCAAGGAGAACAAAAAGCCAGCTTCAAAAGTGTTATTTTGTTTAGTGCAGTCTACTTAATAACTACAACACTGGCAAACAAGTGGTCAGATTTATGTCATCATTCCATATTTTGGAGCAGTAATTATCACATAGAAGAATGGTAATGAATAAAATGTATCAGCGTGTACCTCGGTAGGTTCTGTATTACAATGTAAATGTGGTCATATCTCGATGAAATATGTCATGACAAACTCATGAACATGGGAGACCTTATAAAAGGCCTTTAGAGAAAACAGTGTATTTGGGATATTTTCAAGGGACTAAACTATGCTATGAAAGCATTGATGGTTTTGTGTAAAAATATTTTAATGACACAAAATTGATTGCTTTAACTTACAAGGAGGATTTTGTATGGTATTCTGTTTTACTCTCTCTGATTTAAATGCAGAGGCTGATTCCAAATGAATAGTATTTTAAGCAAAATGAGTATTTCTTAGCTATTAGGAGGACCTGGTGGAAGACACTGCAGTCTAAAATCGGGAATTGCTTCTCACTCATCTTGTCTCAGTATGGTTGTAATTAGTTATAGGAGAAACTATTAAAGAAGGAAATTACTGTGGGTGATCAAAATCTGCCCATTTCACATTTGACCCAACATGAACCTGTTTTCATTTTTCTCATCAGACTCCCTTGCTCATCCATCTAAAATAAGTTTTAAATCTTAAATTATGGGTCAGTTTATAACAATCAATTATTTTTCCTGTATGAAAAGGATTGCTTTTCTTTGTTAGCAAAATTTATAGCTGTGTTTCTATTTTTATTTAGTAAATACAAATGAAAACAATACAAAAAAGGATTGGTCAATAATGGCACCATTATTGGTAAAACTGGGGCATATGTCCTCTCAGAATATTTTTTGTTGGAAACAATGTCTTGTTGTTATTATTGTTTTGTTTTTTTAGAAATAGCCTATTAGTGTTTAAATAATCAAAGTTCAAGAATCAGATATATCTGGGTTCAAATTCTGACTTGATGTTTGACTTAGATAATTTTTTTTGCTGTAGCCTGTTTCCTCATCTGTAAAACTGAGAGGAGCTCTTTTTACCTCTGGAGAATAGTATGAGAATTAAAACTGACCCTTAGCTTTGCGGTGCCCCAAATTAAAAACATTCATTAGAATGTTACCTTTTAAATTTATTATTGAATTATATCTGGGTTCAAATTCTGACTTGATGTTTGACTTAGATAATTTTTTTTGCTGTAGCCTGTTTCCTCATCTGTAAAACTGAGAGGAGCTCTTTTTACCTCTGGAGAATAGTATGAGAATTAAAACTGACCCTTAGCTTTGCGGTGCCCCAAATTAAAAACATTCATTAGAATGTTACCTTTTAAATTTATTATTGAATATATATATATATATATATATATATATATTACAATACCTGTTACATTTGCTTTTCAATGTGCATTGAATTTAAAGGCTATATTTGCAAAAACTGTCACTGTTTAACACCATCAACTACCAGACACTACTAGTCAGAACTCCTAGAAGCCAGAATCTCATATTTCACGTCTTTATATTCATGTTCTGTAAACAACATAATGCACAGGAAGACATACAGTTGATGTTTATTCTAATTGTTTCCTATGCAGCCCCAAGTGCCCCTCCACAATCCGTTACTGTGCTAACAGTCGGAAGCCACAATAGCACAAGTATTAGTGTTTCCTGGGATCCTCCTCCACCAGACCACCAGAATGGAATTATCCAAGAATACAAGGTAGGACCTGGTTAATAGGAAGGAAGGCTCACAGACAAAGTTGCCTGGACAGATTGTCTCTAAAGTTCCTCTTGATCAGTTTAAGGGTAAAGTGACTCTCTCTTTGTGTCACAGGCAAGGAAATAAATGCACAGGGAAGTAGACATAAAACTCAGATGGACAGTTAAACCGTAACATTGAATGATTTTTCTGTAGAGCATATCATACTTCAGAAACTCAAGAATTTAGAGAAGTTAGGATTGGGGTAGATAGGCTGTGAAGCTTCCACTGAGAAGCTGACTGTCATTATTATTGGAATTCTGGTAAGAGACTTTAGAGGAGCCATTTTGTTTGTCGGGTGGTGACAGGGATTGAACTCGGGTCCTTGTGCTTGCAAAGCAGCGGGTGGAACCACTGAGCTAAACTCCTGGCCCTAGAGCAGCCATTTTAAGAGTGGGATCTCACAAGAAACAAACAAAAAATACTTTCAGATTAAGAGAGGCAAGACTGTTGTAGAGATAGGAGGTACCATTGGTAACTCCCAATCTTTGTGCTGTTTTTATCTATTTATTATTTTGTAAAAATATTTCCCTTGGGGGAAGAAGGTAGACAATGAAATAACAATTGAAAAAATTTTAACAAAAACATAGTCGTCTCATTTTCACCTAGTGAATATGTTGTTGTTTAGAAACAGCATATATCCATTGTTTCATCAACATTACTGATGTATAAGTCACAGGAAATATCTCAAAGTAAGATTTTGCTTAATCATGATGTGGTTAGATTAATCCTTACACTAAACTTTGAATAAATTTAAAGCTATGATTTTTGCTTTTAAAAATATTTGTAGAATTCTGAAAATAACTTACTAGATCGATCTAATACAACAGGAGGCTAGATGCCCTACCTTACCTTAGAAATCCACACGTATTGATAATTGGTATGTGAAATTAAGTTTAATAATCCCACTTAAATTTGAGGGTTGAACTTTATATCTGAAAAACTACACATTAAATAGATTTTATTAATTTATAAGTCAAATTACTGAAGCAAATGGGTGGAGTCAGTCTATAAATGTTTATTTTGAAATTATTCCATCAAGTATAAATAAACATGGTATATTAGTCAGTTTACTTTCTGCTGGACATAATACCTGACACTTGTAGCTTAGAGGAGGAGGGATTTAATTTGGCCTACAGTGTAAAGGGATTCGGTCCATGATTGACTGGCCCCAATGCAGGACCATCATGATGTCAGGGAATGGTGGAACGAGCCTGTATAGCTCTTGGTGGCTAAAAATCAGAGTGAAGAAAACACAACAGAGAGAAAGGAGCCTGGAACCATATACAGTATGCAAGGTAATGCCTTAGTAACCCACCCAGACTCAGAAGTGTATTTTCCTAATCATCTAGGCGGTTTCCAAACCAATCAAGTTGATGATTAAATTTAACCTTATTGTCACTAGTATAAGAATAAATGCCTTTATGATAGCATAGCTATATAGATCATAAAGTTTTGCAAGTGTTACATGTTTGTACAGTAAAGAATTAACCCTTATGTGGTGTGTTTTAATGAGGTTAGGAATTCACATTTTACCACCCAAGACAAAATATCATAAACTTCCATTTAGGTAATTGTTTATTTTAATCCTGAGTTTGATCCCTTTGATCCCTGGTACCAAAAAAAAAAAAAACCTGATTTTCTTTTGTTTTGTTTTGTTTTGTTTTGTTTTGGATTTTTTTTTCCTTTTTAATGAGTTTATTGGTGCAATCTAGGTATACAATACAGTTACATTCATTACTGGGATCCTGTACCTTCACATGACAGGTCTTGTTTCTCATTTTTTCCCCTTGTCCCTGCCCTCCCTTCACCCCCACCCCCTCCCCATTTACAAACACTTTATTTCCATTTTTTCATTTTCTTATATATTTTTCTATTCCCTTGTTCCCTTTCCCCGACCCTTCCCACTTTCCCTACACCTTTAGCCCTTTCCTTTCTATTTCACACTATTAATTATGCCATTAGGATCTTGTGTACTATTATAGTTTTTCACACCAGAGAAACTATTCCGTATTTACACATGTGTGACTTATTTATTTCACTTAGGAGTGTATCCTCAATATGTACGCATTTTCCTACGAGTGATTCTAATTTCTCATTCTTTATGGCTGAGTAGTATTCCATTTTATAGAAAAACCACACCTTCTTTATCCAGTTTCCAACAGATGGGCAAATGATTTTATTTTCTTACATGATTAAATTTTTATAAATTATAAAATTTCTCATTTATCATAAGCCTGTCATGTTTTGTTACCAAAGTGTATGTTTAGGTGAGGACTAAATAGTTCCCTATTAAGAACAAAGATATCATCTATAAATAAAAGAAACATGATTATCAGGAATTACTTTGCTGAAAGAATTTCAGGAAATTTTCTGCTTCAGAAGTGATCCTTATAAGTTCCTACACATATGTCCCCCTGTAGATAATAAATTATACAATATAAATACAAATATACCCAGGGGAATTATTTTTATATTCATTTTATAGGAAGTAAATTCCTATGTCCCTGAAGAAAATACACCCTAAATTTTATTTTTACTTGGAATGAGAACCTAGATGCTTTAACAACAGTATTTAAAGATGTTCCTTCACTGTGTTCTACTGTGTACCTATTTACATCTGTATAGATATGTTTTGATTTAAGATTTACTAGTGTAAAAAAATTATTGGCTTTAATTTTTTTCATCTTTAATCAAGTTTATTGATAGATTTTTAGGGATACAGTACAGTTACATTCATTGTTGGGATCTTTGGCTTTCATTTTAATTGAGTCAATATCTATAATTTAGATCAATGAATCTTGTTAACTGCTCCTTTATAAGTTTATATTTTCTTACATGCAATACATATTACTCAGATCTGCACACATGTACTTAGATATTATAATTCATAATCATTGTACAGTAGATGCCATGCACAACAAATTTTGATAAATAAAGCAGAGAAATTTATGTTTTAGTTCATACCAAAAAGCTATTTGCAAGCAGAGCCCATTTTCACAGGTTCTTAAGGACTCAGTGTGCATTTTAAGTCACTCATTATGAGTATTCAGTGCTGACAGATATAAAAGGACATGACGCAGTTTGACCTTCTCTTACTGCTCTGTAGTTAACACACACATATATTATATGAGTTTTAAGCTTTAGGCAATGTTATTTGCAAACACTTTCCTAAGCCCAGAAGATGGATTGGACACTAAATGTATTGCTCAATTAGAGTCTAATTCCTAGAAAAGACATTTCGTATTTATTTGTTTTCATTTTCCATTTCTGTAGATCTGGTGTCTGGGAAATGAAACTCGATTCCATATCAACAAGACTGTGGATGCAGCCATTCGATCTGTAATCATCGGTGGATTATTCCCAGGGATTCAATACCGGGTAGAGGTTGCAGCTAGTACCAGTGCAGGGGTCGGAGTAAAAAGTGACCCACAGCCAATAATAATTGGTGAGTATCAATCTGTAGGACCTATATGGTCAGTACTTTAGTATCAGTCAATTGACACCAAGGTAGATTTTAAAGAAATCTTTATCTTAACCATGGATATGTAGTTATGAGTGATAGGGGGCACACATCAAAAATGAGTTAACTGACTAGGATTTCCTATAAAAATAACTGGTACAATTGCTTGTATTCTTAAATGTCCCCTGAATTTTACAACTGCAGTCACTGAGTTTAAATACGAAAGGTGGTTTAAAAAGTGTTTTTAATCTATACTTCCATTAGTAAATTTGTTGTCATTCAAATATAGAAAATGAACTAGAGAGTACATTAAATCTAAAACTATATGCTTCTTTTTATTCAGAAAAATGTCAAAAATTAACTAGCAACAAGCCCCCCCCAAAAATGCTTTTAAGTTCAAATACACTATCCCAAAGAAGAAATTTATATTAAATCTACCATCATTGCATAAAATTGTCCCTTATTACCATAGATTATGTTTGTCTGTTCTTAAAATATATATAAGTGGAATTGTATAGAATATGATATTTTGTGTCTGGTTTCTTTCACCACATTTAGTTTTTTTTTTTTTGAGATTCACCCATGGATGTATTAGGCAGTTCATGTGTTTTATTGCTGAGTGTTATTCGATTCTATGAATATGCCATACTTGGTTTATCTGATATTTTCTCATTTCTTTGAGGGAAATACATATGAGTAGAATTTCTGGGTAATAGTATGGTATAGTTTGACCTTAGAAAGAACTGCTGAGCCGTTTTTAAATTGTAAAATTTTATACTCCCAACAGAAAGAAAAAGGATTTCCAGTTTCAATATGTTATCAAGCACTTTTCACATAGCTAGTGTTTGTGATTTTAGCAATTCTAGTAGATCTGAGAAGTAATTCCTTGTGAAGTGAAGTTAATGATGTTGCACAACTTCACATGTGCTTATTGGCTATTCATGCATTTACTTTTGTAAACTGCTTTTGTTTTTTTAATATTGAATTGCTTATACATTATGGATACAAATTCTTTTATATATGTTATTTTTCCTAGTACATGGTTTCCTTATGCATTTTCTTTTTAGTGTCTTTTAATGGCCTGCATGATTTTCTTTTCTTCCAGACTTACAGCTTTATTGTTTGCCAGTAGATAGTGAGGGCATGTTCCTATATTTTCTTCTAGAAGCTTTATAGTTTTAACTTTTATAATTAAGTGTATACAAGGTCCTGAGTTTGATCCCCAGTTCCAAAAAAAAAATTAAGTGTATAATTCATCTAAAAATATCTGCATGTGGTTCAAGGATTGGGGCTTGTGCATTTATTTGCACATGTATATTGAATTATAAAGGCACCATTTATTGAAAACACTTTTCCTTTAGGTAATCCTGTATGCATGGATCCATTTCTGAATCCCCTATTTTATATTTGCTTATAAGCCAAACCACATGGTCTTGATTACTGTAGCCTATAGTACCTCTTGAAATCAGGTAATACAAATACTCCATCATTTTCTTCTGCAAAATTGTTTTGACTAATACAGACCTTCTGCCTTTCCATATATAGGACTTGTAAAATAAGTTTGTCAATTTCTATGAAAATATGGTGAAAATGTGAGTATGTAGTGACTCTACGTATCAAAATGGGTAAACATTGTAATAAGGAGCCTTACTATGTAGCAACATGGTATGCATTTTCTTTCTTTTATTTTTGGAACCGGGGATCAAATTTGGGACCTTGTGCTTAAGAGGCAGTCGGCAGAACCACTGAGCTAAATCCCCTGCCCTGATATGCACTTTCTTATTCAAATCTTATTTACTATTTGCAATAGTATTTTTAACAATAATATTTTATAGTTTTCAGTGTTTGAACTGCATGTTTTGTTAAGTATTTCCCAAATATTTGATTCTTTTTGTACTGTAATAAATGAACTTTACAAAGTGCCTTTCCAAATGTTTCATATTATTATATACATATTTAGCATTTTATATGTTGTGACTTTAAAACTTCTCTTATTCATTTTATAGTTGTGAAATTATTCTTCTGAGTAAATTCAGATCATTGTGTTCCTTCTCTTCTCTCTCTCTCTCTCTCTCTCTCTCTCTCTCTCTCTCTCCCTCTCTAAGTTGACACAGTGAACTATACTGAATAGTTTACAAAAGTAAATCAACTGCATTCTTGGGATAAATCCCACTTGGACATGACTTATCTTTTTTACAGATGTTGCTCTACTTGATTTACTAACATTTAGTAAAGAATTTTACATTCCTGCTTATGAAGGATATTAGTTGGTAGTGTTTTGGGTTTGTTTGTTTTTGTCTTTCCTTCTAGTGTCTTTAGATTCAGGTTTTAGTTTCAGAGTGGTTGGCTTTATAAGGTCAGGGTGAATAGTTCTTCCTCCTCTACATTGTTTCAGAATTTTTTTGTGACTGAACTGCCTTAAATATTTCTTAGAAATCAGTACTGATATCTATGCCTGGAACTTTTGAATGTGAGTGTGTGTGTGTGTGTGTGTGTGTGTGTGTGTGTGTGTGTGTGTGTTTAATGAACATAGATCTATTTAGAATTTTTAAATTTCTTCTATTGGTTATTGTAAGTGGATTTTTAATTTTTGTTCACTAATAAATTGGTCAGGTTGACCTACATCATTTACTTTATCATCATAAGGCTATTTAGAGCATTCCCTTATGATCATTATAATTTCTTCAGGATGTATAATTATGTCATCTATTTTATTTTTAAATTCTGGAAATTTATGCACTCTTTCTCATCCCTCTTTCTGGCTTTCCTCCTTGTTGCTGTCTCCCTTTTTTCTCTCTTTCTTATCCCTTCTATTCTATCAATTTTTAAATCCTTCTAATGTATAAAATTTGTTTTATTTCTTTAACTAATTGATTTTTACTGTTTCTTCTACTTACTTTTATTTTGGTACTTAATATCAAATTTAATGAATGTTTTGGGTCTTGTTTTCTGGCATGCCTATTTTAAAGATGTAAATTTGTCTTAAAAAATTTCTTGAGGTGAATCATACAAATTGTTATATGTTTTGCTTATCACTTAGTTTTGAGTACTTTCCTTAAGAATTTCTGTTACTGTTGTTTTGTATTTTTTGCTGTTTTTTTTTAATTTTTATAGGTGTTTTCTAGAAGTGTATTGTTTAATATCCAAATGTTTGGAGGTTTTCCAGATATCTTTTTTACTGATTTCTAACATAATACCTATGATGGCAGAAAATATACTTGTGTGAATTTTGTCATTTAAACAGAGTCACTTTATGGCTCAATATATGGTCTTGGTGAATGATTTTTGTGTACTTGTAAATTATATATTTCCTTTTGTTTCATAAATGTCAAGTAAAATTAGTTGATAATATTATGCAGGTCCCTATTGCTTTTCTGTTTATCTTTTCTTTGAAATACTAATAACAAGTCTGGAGACATAATCCAATTATAGATGTGTGTATTTCTTCTTCCCATCCCTACCATTTGCTATACTAGTTTTACTACCTTGTTTTAAATGAATACAGTTTAAGAATATTACATTTTCTAATCCTAGCACTCAGGAGGCTGAGGCAGGAGGATCGCTGTGAGCTCGAGATGAGCCTGGGCTACATAGTGAGTTCCAGGTCAGTCTCAACTACATAGTGATACTCTGTCTCAAAAAACAAACAAACAAACAAACATAAAAACAAGAATATTACCTTTTCTTAATTAACTTACCCTTCATCATTATGAAAATTCATTTTACCATAAAATTCCTTGTCCTGAAATTAACTCCAATATTAATATAGAATCATCATCTTATATA